AGGGTGAGGATGCTCGTTGGAGAATGTATTTATACCCTGTCACCCGCGCAGAGTAACAAATTCCAAATAAAACAGAAGTGATATTTTTAATAGCGGTGTGTCTCGCCTTTTCTTGGAGCATGCAGGGACTGCCGGGTTGGGTGGGTGGGGTGCCCTGTGCTGCTCCCCATGTTGCTGGTACCCCCTACAGAGGCAGCAGGAGGACCCTGGTATCATCCCCCATGTCAGCGTGCTGGACCCCCACATGCAAGCTGGCACCACAGCATCCAGGACTGCCAACACCGTGTGCCACCATGTCCCCAAATCCCCCCAGCCCTGCTGCCCCCTGCACCGGGACCCCACGTGGGAATGCATCTGTCCCACAGCCCCCTCCCTCCGAACTTCAAACCCCTTCCCCAGCCTTTCCCAGCTGAGCTCCCCTCCCCCTATTTGCCAAAGAGAAAAGCTGCTGGTTTCATTTCTTTTTAATGTAATTTCAGCTGGAGTTGCCATGGATACCAGGAGCGGAGTGGGGGGGCTGAATTGCCTCCAGGCAGCGCGCAGACACTGGAGCCAGGGCCGAGGCCCCGAGCCAGGGAAGCCGGGGCAGGCAGGGGCACAGGCTGTGAGGAAGCTGAGTGTGGGGCTCTGCCCTTCTCCCCGCGGGGGACATTCACAGCTCCAGTGCCACGGGAACACATCACCCTGTCCAGCACCGTGCTCCAGACCCTGTGCTGGACCCCCCTAAAAGCCCTGGTGCTGCCCATTGTGGCATCCCACGGGGTGCCCAGTGCCCTCTTGAGGGGGTGATGCCTTTCTGCCCCAGATTAGGGGATTGCCCTGCCCTTCTGTCCCCTCTCCTCATCCTTGCACAGCCGCAGCTGCATGCTGTGCACATGTGCCAGCGTGGCCAACCCAGCTAGGACCCCGAGGCAAGCTGGTGACAGACAACCCAGTGCTATTGTGCTACTGCCTTTGCAAACTCCTGAGGCTGCCATCTGTCCAGGGTGTCCTTGACCATCAACAGTTTTCCTTTGGAGACCTGGCAAAGCTCAAGGGACACTGTATCCCAGAGGGTATGAACAGTTTACATCTGCGTGACAACTGTGGCACATCCTCTGCTTCAGGGGACACGTTTAGGGCTGTTGGCAAGGAGAATCATAAGGGAACTCAACTGCAAAGGTGTCCCTGGCATGGGAGGGAGGGAGTGACCTGTGGCTGGCCTCTGGCTGATCCTGAAGATCCACAGCCAGCAGGAGGGCAGGGATGCTGCCCTTCTGTCACGGTCTGATGCTGGCACAATGCCAGTGCCCCCATGAAAATATATGCTCTCTGGTGTCTGCTGTGAGATGTGACCAGGAATAGAGCAAAGCAGGGTCCAATTTAGGAATAAAGAAGAAAAAACTTTATTAACCTACAACTATATATAAAGACAGAACTCGGAATGAAAACCTTCCAAAAAACATTGCTCTTCCCCCCATCAAATTTCCAATACATCCACCCCTCAGATCACCAATTCTCAGTCCATCACCACCCTTTAGATAATCAATTCTCAGTTCATCAAGGAGGGAGGAGTCCCTCTTGTAGCACAGGCTTTCCCCTGGAAACACAGTTGAAACCTCAGTTGACCACAGCATCCCAAAAACTCACTTTTTCTTAAACCAGGACATCTTCACAGTAGCATCACTGGAATAGTGCCCTGGTGCTGTTCCCCACATCTCTGATGCACCCAGGACACAGGAGAGCAGACTCACAGGCAGGCAGAACAAGCTGTTGAGTCTTAGGCCGCAACCCCCTCTGCCCTGTGCTGCAGCAGCACAAAGGATTTCTGTACTCACCCACTGCCAGTGACCTTCCTGGCAGTTGACTCAGAGCAGAGGGTTTTGTCTCTCTGAGAACAGCAGCCTGGATCCAGGGATGCCTGTCCGGCTGCCAGTCCAGGCCTGGAACCCAGCAGCCCCTGCACTGCAGCGGCCATCCAGTGACGAGGCTGAGCCCTCCACAGGGCCAGCCCCGCCTGGAGCACAATGGCTGGGAGAGGGGACTCTGGAAGCCTCCCCTGCAGTCCTCCTGGCGGTGGAGATGTTTCAGTGATGGTCCAAGCTTGGTTCCCATCGTACCCATACAGACTGCTGGGCTGCACTTCTGTGACCCTAGGAGAATGCCAGCAGCTGCGTCACCCCAGTCCCACCATCCTCATGCTGACTCAGTCCTGCCCATCTCATCAGCTTATCTGCGTTAGACGTGCCCACGTTTTTGAACTCTTCCGCTGCAACTTCAGACACCAATTACCTCCACAATTAGGGTCATTAACAAGGAGTGCATTTCTGGCCCGCGTGGTGCGGGCGGGGCAGTTTTCTGGGTACGGGAGGCAGCGCCGGCCGCGGTTCAGCACAGCCTGTCCTTTCACCGATGGCTCCTGCACTTCAGCCTGGGGCCAGCAGCGAGGGGGCTGCCCGCGCTCCGGGACCTCTGCTCNTGCCATCCCCACAGCAGCCCTGAGCTGAGCCCCCTGTGTGAGCCCAGCTCAGCAGGCAGCACAGCTCAGGGACAGGGTGTGGGCTGCAGTGCTGGCTCCTTGCAGGGGTACAAGAGCATCAATGCCTTCTCCATGCTGCATCCTGCAGTGCAGCACTGGCATGCTGGAGCCCTGCTGAGAGCTCCCTCCACTCCGTGCCTGTGTTGCAGGTCTGTTCCAGAGAGCCATCATCCAGAGCGGCTCCGCGCTCTCCAGCTGGGCAGTGAACTACCAGCCTGTGAAGTACACCAGCATGCTGGCTGACAAGGTGGGCTGCAACGTGCTGGACACCGTGGACATGGTGGACTGCCTGCGGCAGAAGAGTGCCAAGGAGCTGGTAGAGCAGGACATCCAGCCAGCCCGCTACCACGTGGCCTTCGGGCCAGTCATTGATGGGGACGTGATCCCGGATGACCCAGAGATCCTGATGGAGCAGGGCGAGTTCCTCAACTATGATATCATGCTGGGGGTCAACCAGGGTGAAGGGCTGAAGTTTGTGGAGGGTGTGGTGGACCCCGAGGACGGCGTCTCAGGCAGTGACTTTGACTACTCAGTCTCCAACTTTGTAGACAACCTGTACGGCTACCCTGAGGGCAAGGACACCTTGAGGGAGACCATCAAGTTCATGTACACGGACTGGGCCGACCGGGACAACCCCGAGACGCGGCGCAAGACTCTGGTGGCCCTCTTCACTGACCACCAGTGGGTAGAGCCCTCGGTGGTGACCGCCGACCTGCACGCCCGCTACGGCTCCCCCACCTACTTCTACGCCTTCTACCACCACTGCCAGAGCCTGATGAAGCCTGCATGGTCCGACGCAGCCCACGGGGATGAGGTGCCTTACGTGTTTGGGATCCCCATGATTGGCCCCACAGACCTCTTTCCCTGCAACTTCTCCAAGAACGACGTCATGCTCAGCGCCGTGGTGATGACCTACTGGACCAACTTTGCCAAGACAGGGTGAGTGGGGATGGGTGCCGTGCCTCGGGGGTCTGCACTCACTGCAGCTGCACTCTCTGAGGCTATGCTGTGGGGGGGAGGTTAATCATGCCCAGTGTGGGACACTGAGCTCCCCGTGCCCAGAGGTTCCTGTGTGCTGCACCTTCACTGGGGCCAACCACAAACCAAGAAGCTTAGATCATTACCAGCCCCTGGGACCAAGCCACAGGGGTGGGGAGGCTTGTTGCCCCTGGTTATCTTGGGTGAGACTTGGGTGCTGCCCAGTCATTCAAGACCTGTTGCCAGCCCATCCTGTGCCACCGCTGGCAAAGGTCCCCTCAGTTTCTGTCTCTGCATGCAGCTCTCCCTCTTGGTTTCTTTGGCTTTTCCCATTGCTAGTTCTGTTCTGCCTGTGTTTCACAGGGACCCCAACAAGCCTGTCCCCCAGGACACCAAGTTCATCCACACCAAGGCCAACCGGTTTGAGGAGGTGGCCTGGTCCAAGTACAACCCCCGTGACCAGCTGTACCTGCACATTGGGCTGAAGCCGCGGGTACGCGACCACTACCGGGCCACCAAGGTGGCTTTCTGGAAGCACCTGGTTCCCCACCTGTACAACCTGCACGATATGTTCCACTACACCTCCACCACCACCAAAGTGCCACCACCCGACACCACACAGAACTCCCACATCACCCGCCGGCCCAACAGCAAGATCTGGACCACCAAGCGTCCCGCCATCTCGCCCGCCTACAACAGCGAGAACGGGAAGGAGAAGTGGAGCCCGGAGCAAGAGGCGGGCACGCTGCTCGAGAGCCCCCGCGACTACTCCACCGAACTGAGCGTCACCATCGCCGTGGGCGCCTCCCTCCTCTTCCTCAACGTGCTGGCCTTCGCCGCCCTCTACTACCGCAAGGACAAGCGCCGGCAGGACACGCACCGGCAGCCCAGCCCGCAGCGCGGCGCCTCCAACGACATCGCCCACGCGCCTGATGAGGAGATGCCCTCCTTGCAGGTGAGCCAGGGGCACCACGAGTGCGAAGCTGTGCCATCCCACGACACCCTGCGCCTGGCCGCTCTGCCCGACTACACCCTCACCTTGCGCCGCTCTCCGGACGACATCCCGCTTATGACCCCCAACACCATCACCATGATCCCCAACTCGCTGGTGGGGCTGCAGACCCTGCACCCCTACAACACCTTCACCGCCGGCTTCAACAGCACGGGGCTTCCGCACTCACACTCCACCACCAGGGTATAGCTGCCTGCCGCCGGCGCACACGCATGCACGCACGCACACACACGCAGCAGACACTGGCAGAGGGACCGGCGGGGCCACGGAGCCCCCGGACGGAGGGGCAGTGCCCACGGACGGTGCAGCTCCCAGCCCAGAGACCTGTGGGGGTCCCAGAGCGGCCCCGGCGCTTTCTTTTGTTCCTATCTAACTTTTGAGAAGTGCTTTGACTCTCCTGGCCTCAGGGCCCCGTGGGTTGCCCCGGGACGCCAGTGGGGTGCAGGAGGGACACGGTGTAGTCCTGCACAACCCACCCGTGCAGGTGGGCAGGGGTACCCCGCTGTCAGTGGCCACGAGGTACCCGGTGCCGTGGCTGTGCCTCCCAGTGGGGCGATCACATCCCCAGTGCTGAGCCCACCAAGCACCCTGGGACTGACGAGGAGCGGGACCGGGCATCCCTCTCAGCCGGTGCCCAGGCATCTTGGCAGCCCTGGAAAAGGCTCCTTCACTGTGCTGAGAAGTGGCCCCAGGCCATGGTGCTATAGGCAGAGGGAATGGGCAGAGTCCAGGGACCTGGCCTTGTGCTGGATGCGGGCGCTGGGGCTGGTGCTGGGGCTCAGGGACCCTGGGAGTGGGGCCCTGGGCTGGAGACTTGGCACCTCTGCCCCTCTTTGCGCTGCAGAGAATCTCTTTTGTGTCAGTCATTTCTCTTTGCAGAGACGTTTTTTAAGCAGATCTTTAGTTCTTTACACACTAACGGAGTCGCCGCGTTTTGTCCTTTGTAAAGATTTTAAAACCAAGTGTTCTTGATATAAAATAAAAAGCCAGTTAGAAGCCAGCGTGTGCGCACGGTGCCGGCCCCCCATGGCGCCCGCCTGCCGTGGGTGGGCACCAGGCAGGGCAGTGCCTCCTGCACTGTGGGGCTGCGCTCTTTTGTATTTTTTGATATTCTCCCTCCTCTGTCACCCGTGCCCACGTATCTCAGCCAAAAAGCCTATCCAACGGCCTGCCTGCGAGCACCCCCGCCCCGGTCCCTCACCGCCACCACTGGCCAGTGCCACCCACCGCCCCTGTGGGCATCACCTGCTCCGAGCACTGTCTGTTCACTCCCATGAACCCAGGACAGCCCCTCATGCTCCCCACCCTGCCCTGCTCCCCCAGGAGCATCCCACATCCCTTCACCACTGCCCCAGGGCTGTGCTGCGCCCTCCCTGCCCGTGCTTGTTGCCCGAAAGCAGAGCCGGTGGTTTGCAGCCTGCGGTAGGAGCGGGGCGACAGGAGCGGGGTGAGCTGCTCACCAGCATCCACTCTGCCTCCCAGGCTGCTTCCACTGGGGCCTTTACCCCATCGTGGGGTGACCCCAGCTCCTGCATCCAGGATGTGCAGCTGGAACAGATGCCTGGGTAGGGACTCTGGGGGTAATGCAGCCTGTGTGGGGCTGGGAGCCAGCCTGTGCTGGGGCTGGGGCATCTGCTGTGGCCACCGAGCCACACGTGGCTCTGGGCAAGTGGCTTTGCTGTGGTCGGGCATGGAGAAGGAGCTGCAGGGGATGCCACGTGGGGTACCCCAGTCTCAGCCCCCCAAGGTGAGCACTAGCACCTGGGGCCTGGGGAGGCAGGAGAAAGGGACAGGTCCTT